ACACACACACACACACACACACACACACACACACACACACACACACACACTTTCAGTCTACAGCCCAAACAATCTTACATGTATAGAACTCTGCATTTCCTGTGCATGTATTTGTGTGTATTCTTGATCCTGCTCAAGAGAGAGACTGTGTCTAGAACATTATTAAGTCCTCTTTGTTTCTTCTCTGAGGTTGTCATCTCTGGGAGGTAACCATTTTTCTGACTTAAAAAAAATCTTTTTATTGATTCTTTGTGGATGTCATATCATGCATCCCGATCCCACTCATCTCCCTGTCCCCTTGCTTCTGCCCTTTGCCTTTGCAAGCTCCCCTTAAAACAAAACAAAATTTAAAAATAAAACTAGAAAACAACAGAAAACAAAAACAAAAAAAAAAAGAAAAAAAATTCTGCACGGAAGCTGTAGTGTGGCCCATTGAGTTACACAGTTTACACTTTAGTCCCTATATCTTTACTTTTAAGTATTTACTGCAGTGAGTCATTGGTCAGGTTCAAGGCTTCTGACTTCTGCTAAACTATCAATACTGGGCCCTTACTGGGCCCTGTGTCATGGAGGTCCTACAGCTTTGGATCTGCAGGTCTGGCCCCTTCACATGCTCCAGCAGATCATAGATGAGGTGAATGTTGGAGTGGACTAACTCACAGCCTTGGTTTTTGGTCTGGGTGGCAGCTGGGTTGGTCAGCCCACACCAACTTTCCCTCATCATCACCACCTGAGTGAGATCTCAAGCACTACCCTGCCTAGCTCACCCAATTCAGCAGGCAGCAAGGAGTGGGGCCAGTTCTTCTTCTTTCATGCCCTTGGGTTTGACTCACCTGCACTCACACCATTAGGGCCCACTTTACTATTTTTCCCAGGAGAGGTGCAGGCCTGGCTCTCCTGATTGGTGCAGTTGGTGAGGGGCAGGGCCACATCTTCCATTCTCAAGCCCCCAAGGCTGGCTCTCCTGCCTGCCACAGGTGGCAAGGGGCAAGGTGAGGAGGGCATCTTTCCCTCACCCATGCTACCACACAGCAGATGGGGGGGTCAGCTCTCCTGCTATCTTGCCCCCAGGGCCAGCTCTCCTGTGCCCCCGCCAACAGGGTCAGTTCTACTGTGCTGCCCTGGGTAAGGTGCCAGTGAGGGGACAGTGCCAATTCTCCCACTCTCAGGACCTCATGGCCAGTTTTCACACCTGCCATAGGCAGTGAGGGGTGGGAGAGGGGGGAACTCATCTCTTCCTCACCCATTCCACACTGCATGGCAGACGAGGGGTAGGGCCAGATAGCCCGTGCACATGTGTGGGGCCAGGTCGCCTGCATTCCTGTCAACATGGTCAGCTCTACTATGATGCTTGAGCAACATGTAGGGCTTGTTCTCCTGAGTGCTGCAGCTGGGGAAGGGCAGGGTTAGCTTTCCCACTCTTGTGACCTCGGTACCAGCTTTTCCCACCTGCAGTAAGTGGCAAAGGAGGCATCTCTCCCTTGCCCACACTACCACATGGAAGACAGTGGGACTTGCCCTCCCACTTTCACAACGTCAGGGAAGGCTCCCCTGTAACTACCCTGTAGCTGGAGAGCTTCTCTCCAGGTCCTACCAAGCCCCCCGCAGTCCCACAATCCACGTATAAAATAATTACTCAGATGCTTATATTACTTATAAACTGTATGGCCATGGCAGGCTTTTTGTTATCTACTTCTTCTATCTTAAATAAACCCATTTCTATTCATCTATAAGTTGCCACGTGGCTCGTGGCTTACCGGTACCTTACATCTCACTTGTCATGGCGGCGGTTAGCAGGTTTCTCCCTCTCAGCCGTCTACTTCCCCCAATTCTCTTTTCTTTGTCCCGCCTATACTTCCTGCCTGGCTACTGGCCAATCAGTGTTTTATTTATTACCCAATCAGAGCAACACGCGTAACATACAGAACATCCCACAGCACCACCTCCCAGCCTCCAACAGGAACAGCTTTACTGTGCTGCCCAGATGAGGTGCAGGACCTGCTTTCCTGAGTTCAACAGTTAGTGAGGGGCAGAGCCAGTTCTCCCTAATACTGTAGTCAGTGAGAAGCAGGGCCAACACTGTGAAGTCCTATTCTCACTGCTTTTGGTGATAATAGGAGCCACAGACATTAACACAGACCCTGGCTGTGGCAGGGCCATGTACCCAGACATGACCCTGGCCATAGCTTGGGCTCATATGACATCTTGGCCCCTGCAGGCAGTGCATGTCACTCAGGTCTGTATGGGCTTGGCAGTGGCACAACCCTCAGAAACAGTGACCACAGGTAGTAGCCCAGATCCTGGGCATCCATGTGGCCTTTGGTGGCAACATGGGCCAGGGACCCAGACATGGTCCTTAATAGCAGCCAGGGTCTGGATGTCATCATAGTCCTAGTTGATGTTGTAGGTTGCCCAGATCAGCATGGTCCCAGTGGTGGTATGGTCCTTGAAAGCCAACATGTCCCCAGAGGGCAGCCCAGACCCCAGGTATCTGCTTGGTCTTTGATGATAGCAGGAACCATGGACATCAATGCAGACCCTGGATGCTACAGGACAGGCCACCCAGGTTTGTATGGCCCCAGTGGCAACTTCAACCTCAAAGACCAACATGGCCTCAGATGTCAGCTCAGACTGTGGGCCTCTGTACATCCCTCAGTGGCAAGAGGAGTCACAAATGTCAACTGAGAGCCTGGTTGCAGCAGTCAACTTAGA